AATGCCCTGTCCTCTCACTGTTATGCCCAGGGATTCAACACCTCTTCTTTTGCAGCATGCTGACATAAGTGAATATGTCAGGCGGCTGAACAGCGCCGTGATGAGTCTCTCTGAACAAGTGGTCAAAATCCTGCGCAGAGAACAAGCTGAGGAGCCTACCTCAGTGGAAGTGGACAGCTGGGTCTACCGCAAGGCGCACAAACTTCAGTGGTTCAAGCCCCGGTGGCAAGGACCCTACAAGGTAGCAGAAAGCACCACACACTGTGTTAAACTGTGGCTCACTGATAACAAGTTAAGTAACTGGATCCACAAAACACACTGCACACCAGCAGAGGATCCCACTGTTCGCACAGTAAGTCAGGTCAGGGCTGATTTGACCTCTAAATTGCCTGGGCCACAGTCAGAGAAGGACTAAGGTTAGTGTGACAGTTTCAGGGAACAGATAGTGCTAGGGACAGCAAACAAAATGCCCATCTCAAATTTTTTAAATGGTCGTCCTGGCATTTTTCTCTGTGTCTCTGGCCTCATTGCTACAATTATTGTGGGGTTAGCCCAAACCAGATATAATGTACAGGCCTGTTGGGTTCGGGGTCATTCATTCTTCATCTGCCTGCGCGCAGTATTGGAGGTGAAGGATACCTGAGCGTGTAATGTTAATTTTACCTGTGATCCTTTGAATAAACCAGCACAGTTTTTTGTAGCCACTTGGACCGCCTCGTCTCTCTGAGTTTCACTGGTTAAGCGTAACTGGGAAATATCTTTCACAATACAGGACAAAATTGATTTTTGTAATGTGGGTCTAGACAAAGCATTAAAAGTAATTAAGTTATTTTACTGCTGACAGCAGTCATGTACATGTAAAAGAGTTGAGCCTGCAGGCAATAAGAGAAATTCAGGACAAAGCTGCCCCTACAGAGAAACAAGCATGGCTTGGTAAAGGAGCCACACAAGATTCCATGTGTTGCAACATGACTAGAACCCGGGGTGCAGCGGTGACATTCATTTCTCATACGGTGTCTGTCACAATTATATGCAAATAAAAACCTATGCAAATTAGGTGATATCGTCATTGAGCGACTTCTAGGACCGCCAATAGCTACTTTGCTTACTGAGGAGTTGGCTAACATTGTCTTCGTCAGCTAAAGAATTTTTGGTCCTGGAAGGAAGTCAGGTTTCAGTGAAATTGGGAAGCAGAGGACAGAGAAACCTGTGGTTTGAGAGGCACTCATGGCGTTAGAGTTGTACTTGGACCTGCACTCTCAGCCCTGCCGCTCAGTTTATATGTTCGCCAAGAAGAACAACATTCCCTTTGAGTTCAAGAAGATTTCTCTGCTGGACGGTGAGTTCATGTTCCCACACAGAGACCGATCCTGTTCCTCATCACAGATTTTAGTCACATAGAAGTCGTCTGCTACTTAATTCCTGCTCGAAACAGTATCGGTCCGTTTGCAGTTTGTTGGATAGTAAAGTGTAATGTCCATAAAGTTAAAGGGACAACCAGTCACTTACTGAATGCTGTTTTCTCAACATCTTTCTGCTACAACAGTAGGATACTCCAAAAAAGTTCACTTTAGTATACTTCGTTGTGCTTTGTAATCATTTTTCTTTATGTTTTCTAAATAGACTGGAAAACACAACATTTTCTGTATGCTAGAAATTGTTTGTTAGGCTATGTGTAATCCGTAATATTGATACCAGTAATGGGTTTTGTTCTAAAGTTTTTTGGTTTTTAATAGGAGTGCTAGAAATGTCAGAGTTACATTATTTTGTACTTTTTCCTTATGAAAACCTTTTCATTTAACAAAGCAGCCAGCCAAGAGTGCACTGGTATCAAATCAAGGTCAAAGTGTTTATTTGTCATATGCACTGTTAGGAAACATGTTTCCCTATACAATGAAATTCTTTGCCATCCACATGAATGCCACAAAATAGAAATGAAATATAAAGTAGATAAATAGTAACACAAAATCTAAGGCACTTTAAGCAGCAAATGCAGCAATATAATACAAATATATAAGAATAAAATGAACAAGATTCTCATTTAAAACTGATTATTACGATTTTGAATGCCTGTACAGTAGGCTGTGTTTTGGTGTCAATGCCAAAATGATCTTTTTATATGTTTCCCTGTGTTACTACACAATAGGGTTTGGAGAGGTCACCAGATGATTAAGAAGAGAAGACAGAAAAATATATTTCTGCAGTGAAAATTATCTAGACTGTGAGTTTTGAATAAAATCAGGAACGATCTAATTAAAGGATAAGTAAGCAGATCACAGAACTGACAAGACATTTCACCGCACTTGACAGTTTGGCATGATCTCTGCTTTGGACCCATTTCACTCAGTATCATACAAGAACTGAGGTTTGATTGCCACCCTAAGAATCAGATGTATGAACAGCTGTATCTCTGAATAGCTGTGAACAGCTTCAAATAAATCCACACTAAAAGCTTATTGCTGCACCTGACTTGACCCATGTGTGTTGGTTTCAGGCGAGCAGTATGGAGAAGAGTTTGGGAAGATCACCCTGATCAGACAAGTCCCTGCTCTTCGAGATGGAGACTTCTGCCTGGCTGAAAGGTGATAATTAAAATGCTCAACATTAATGTGTCCAGTGAGGCCATGTGTCCCATTTGGTCATTATTGGTGGTGTTTGTTTTGGTAGCATTGCCATCCTGCTGTATCTGGCAGAGAAGTTTAAAACGGCAGACTTCTGGTACCCAGCCGACCTTCAGCAGCGCGCTCGCATTAATGAGTATCTGTCATGGCAGCACACGGGCATCCGTCTCCATGGTTCTAAAGTGTTCTGGCTCCAGGTATGTTCCCAAGCTTCTGTTATGGTGTCTTGAGTTTTTTAGCTTTTAACTCCATCTGTGAGGAAGTGAGGTCAGCTGGACAAGCAACACCAGCCCTGTATTTGAAGTTAGAGCTGCTGATGGAAGTTTCTTCCTGCTTTCTATTTTGCAGTTCACTGCCACTGATTCTTGAGCATATACTATACTATACTATACTATACTATTTAATTTTCTTGTGTCAGTGTGGCATTAACTGTGAGTACGGCTTTCTGTAAGCACTCAAAAGGTAATAAATGGAGATGATTCCTTCAGAGTTTTACCGAGAACACAGAGAAACCTCCCTGTATACATGACTCCATTATGATCCAGGTTTCCCGTGATCTGTTTCAAAACTTAAAGTGCAAGTGCTTCGAGTGCCTGGTCCTGGCACACCTGATCACCTGTTTCCCACCCACACTGGACGCCCACCAATTTGCCTACCACAGGAATGCACGGAGGATGCTGTCTCCATAGCACTGCACTCAGACATCTGTACAGTAACAATACTTAGGTAAGAATGCTGTTTGTGGACTTCAGCTCAGTGTTTAACATGGTCATCCCCTTCAAATTAACCATGCAACTTGGAGACCTGGACATCAGCATCTCCCTCTGCAACTGGATTCTGTACTTTCTGACCAACAGGCCTCAGCACGTTAGGTCACACAACACCTGCTTCTCCACCATCATACTCAACACCAGTGTACCACAGGGCTGTGTGCTGAGCACATTCCTCTACTCCCTTTTCACCCACGACTGCAGGCCTGTGCATGGCTCCAACACCATCATCAAGTTTGCAGATGACACCACAGTGATTGGCCTGTCCTGTTTGGTTGCTGAGCCAAACCAGACAGTGATGGAAGAGCAGAGAACAGACTCAGTGATTCCTCTGTAGAACTGTGTCAGCAGCTCCTGGGCCAGGTTGAACTTTCTGAGCTGGTGCAGGAAGTACATCCTCTGCTGTGCCTAACTTGTACATACTCACAGAATACTGCATTACTTGTAATTTAAATCCATAAAGTCTGCTGTATATTGTACATTACCTTGCATATCTTACTGTAAATGTCAATTGTACATATTTATCGGTAAATTAGTTTTGACTGTACACTCCTCACTGCTGTTATTGCACTTCTGGTTAGATGCTAAACTGTATTTCGTTGCCTTGTACTTGTACATGTGTAATGACAATAAAGTTGAATCTAATCTAATCACTTGACAGGACTCACAGATAACTAAAATTTTAACTCACTTAAATGACTCTGTGTGACTTGGTAAAAAAAACTATGCATTCACACTGAAAATCCTGGGGGCTGATTAAACCTGGACAACCCGTCTTTTTTTTCTTTTTTTTTTTAGCTTCATCTCCAAAGTGTTAAAATAATTTTAAGTGAAGCATCATCTCACAAGTTTCAATATACCACATAGGAGAAAGCCACTGCAATTATGTGAATATGAAAGCAGTACAAGAAAAAACACCCAAAAGAGTGCAAAAGACATATTATCCAAAATAAAAGATAAACTATCTAAGATGAAGTATGCATACAGTGATGCTCAAGTCACTTCTGTTTGTTTTCCACCATTGTTGTTAACTGGTGCAACTGATTGATGTGGACCAAAATGACAACAGTAGGGGAAGTGTTATCAGTCCGATAGGAAACCACACAGTCATTCTGTAAGATTAGGCATTTTAATTTAATTTAGGATAAGGATAATGATGATCACCTGCTCTACCCACTGAACCACAGTCGCCCCTTAATTTAATGGCTATACATGTGTGAATGTGTAATACATGTGTAAATCAGTGATTTCTCTCGTTTTTTGTGCCACACTTGGGCTCCCATAATAGTAACACACAGCAATCCAGCTGAAAATAATACAATATAAATAAATAAAACTCGGGCTTGTCTGGAAAACAATGTTGAACCAGGCTCAACCTTTGTGAAACAGCAATTTGACACTGCATTCCAATCAAAAAGCACACGTTCTGTTTCACTGTTATTTGTTCACAAGATTTTACAGCCTGAGTCATACTTCTTGTGACAAGTAGACTGAATTTCATGTGTAAAATTTGTGGCCTTTAGAAATATATCCAGTATGCACTGCACTAGTACAGACATCGCATAGAGTAAAGTTTTAGCTCTTTTGTATCAGAGAGCCTGTGAAGACTGTAGCAGTCTGAAGGCTTGTGATCATAATATTCATAATAATTCCTTGTCATTAAAATGACACAAGGAAACAGTTAACATTCCCCATGTCCCCAAGAGAGAAGATAAGACCATGTGCTCACAGTTTAAACCCTCTGACTGTTCTTCTTTTGAGTATTGACAGGTTAAATGCTGCATATTTTCTGCTTTCCTTGGCTGGCTTTCAACGAAAACATTCTTCATCATATGATATACTACTCAACCATTTTATGTGTTCATCTCCACCTGAAAAGTGTCTGTGTGTCTAGACTCAATCATGATTTTGTATCAAGAACAAGCTCAGTGACAGAATTAAATAGAGCGTGTATTTTAACTGCATTTCCTGTAGATTCAAATCAAGACCTTTGTGTTTATCCTGTAGCTTTTGCTTCCCAAGCTTCTGGGTGTGGAAGTCCCGCAGGACAAGCTGGACGCAGCCTTGGAGGACCTGGACAGCTCCCTGAAACTCATCGAAGAAAAGTTCATCCAGGACAAACCCTTCATTGCAGGAGATCACATCTCATTGGCTGACCTGGTTGCCATTGCAGAGGTCATGCAGGTGAGCAGAGAGACATTTCCAGTCAAAATAGTCCAAACTCAGTACATTGACAATGGGCCATGACAGTGTTTTTGCACATTTTAGCCCGTTTGCATTATTGTCAACCTGATTCTGAAGAATAACAAATTTAAGCTCTAGCATGGTTTTTGTACATTCTGCTCATTTCACTACACTTGAGACAGGTAGTCCTTCATGTCTGAGTTTCAGGGTTGGTATTGTTTGAAATTTCAATACTAGTGACAATGACTGACTTCTAATTCAGTGGCAATATCAAAATAGTACTTCTTCAGTGCCCTACACTGACAAATGTTTTTTCTACAAAAATCTTTTTTTCCATTTAGTTTTCAAAGGTAAAATGTTCTGTAAACACAAGCAGCCATTGAAGAATGTTGCCTGAATAAAACAGTCTAAAACCCATTGATTCTGAAGCTACATTCATAAATATTCTTCGTTAATGTGGGGAATCTGTCAGCAAGTAGTCAGCTCCAGTATTACAGTATAGTATAATAAGGAAAAATGTGTTCTTTTCTTTCAACCTTGTTTGAATACTTAACTGAGAAAAACACATTTTGACTAGAAACAAATGTTAGATTTACTGTATGCTTTATTGTTCATATCTTGTATGTTTAAGACAAAAGTGTTTTGTGATGGGGGCTAAAGTGCACTGTCTCTGGTAATGATTTGTCTTGGTGGCCTGGAGTGGTAAATCTCCCAGCCTTAGCCTAAAATAATTCAAGTGATAACAATGGCTGCCTGAAGCGTAGAAAACAGATTTAAATCCTGTACATCTAAAGCACAGCAGTAGATTTTAATAATTGATGGGTAGTGATTTAATAGTATTTGCTTTGTACTGAAGGGACAGCTATGGATGGAAACCAATGTACAGCAGCATCGATGAGGAACAATACAGGTCAGAAGCATTAGGTTGTTCCTCACTAACAGCCCTTCTCCTCTGTCCCACTGACAGCCTGTGGGCTCTGGGCTGGATGTGTTTGAGGGGAGACCCAAGCTGAGTGCGTGGCGTGACAGAGTCCAAGCTGCTATTGGAAAGGAGCTCTTCGATGAAGCACACCAGATGATCCTAGGAGGTGTGCCAGTGATGGATGTCAGCAAGATGCAGGTCTTGAAGTCCAAGATCATCAGGCTTTTCCTGTGAAGAAGAGAACACTGGTTCAGCCTGAACTAGCTTAGTGAAGTTTTCTGTAACACTTCTCTGTATGAATCAGGTATCAATAGAATACTGACTGGTTTTTACTAACACTCAAATGAAAACCAGATGATGAAAACAAGTTACATCTGAGTACTTTAGATAAAAATGTATTTTTGTAAATAAAGGGTACATATAGGTACTGGAAGGTACTACTAGGAAACAAAACAAGTTTGGAGAAAATGGGTCTAACAACTTGCTGTGTAGTTAGAGTAAAAAAAAAAACAAAACCAAAAAAAGCAAAAAGTAAAAACAGCTACATAGCCCATCAACCTTATTCTACTGTAACTACATTTAATTACCAGTAGGAACAAATTAGTATTTTACTGGTACCTGATTCATACAGACTGAACAAATTAGTATTTTACTGGTACCTGTTTCATACAGACCGCATCATAAAGTATTTCCAGGTTTTCTTCTCATACCTGACAACACAGAGAATTGATTTAACATCATACATCCCTTCTGTTACTTACAAACTGGACAATATACAGTAAGCATTCCAAACTTTGTGTATGAAGACATCCCACTGTTTGTCAGTAAAGACACGAGCATGTTTTTCATCGGTATGACAGGAAGTGATGTGCAGACTGGGTTAGACACGAATCTGGAGTCAGTAGGTCAGATTACGTAACAGAAGAATGTGAAATGTGAGGTAACTGCTCCACTGAGATCTGCAGTATGTCTGTATCCACAGAAAGTCATCAGGACATTTCCTTACTGCTTCGCTGTCTTTGTCGGCTAATTCCTGTGATGAGAGATGTTAATGGTCCTGTAAGCCTTAATAAACTGTTTTGCCCCAGACTTCCCTCTGTATTTGACAGCTATGGTGATTAGTTGTTCACACTGTGATCATGTGCTGTAGTGGGTGATCATGTGGATAATGAGGTGTAGTGTGATATGAAAAGCTTCAACATACTGTATGTTGGCAGCTGTGGTGTCAGTCTTTAAATGAAGTTCAGTATTTGTAGTCAGTTACAAACTCATCAGATGAAAGATTTGTTGTGGTTGGCACACACACACACACACAGACACACACACAGACACACTTATCGCAAGAGACAATACTCAAACCACTCCAGTTATTTTTTCCAGTGGTGCGAAGTACCCAAGCCACTCAAGTTTTAAATACAATTATTAGGTATCCGTGTGTATTTATTTTCTTGTACTTCCTAAATATTTGGTTAAGATCAACTTTAGCATGTGATTTTGAGTCATCCCCCCTGTTGTTTTATGGCAGTGTGGAAACAACAAAAACAGGGCAATGCTACCACCAAGTGGGCAAAGCAGGGTCACTTCATTTACAGTATATACTATATACATGTATGCACTAATTATATACGGGTAATAGAAAGTACATCTATTGAAAAGGTGTAAAGTCATGTCATTTTATTATATTTATCATATATTAACTCATTTACACTAATGCGCTGCACTGTTGTATCTGTACAGTAATTTGCAAAATAGTAAATATAAAATATACTGTAAATTTAGTGGAATCAAAAAAGCAGATTTCTCTTTGAAATGCTGTGAAGTATAAAGTAACAAAATTATATATTTGAGTACATTTTTTTTTACTTAAAGCTACAATAAGTCATATTTTTTTAATGTTTTATTTTTATGTTTTGTATTTATTTATTGTGGTGCAAATGAAAAAAAGACAAAACAGTTTTGAAAACAAGAAAACAACAATGGATTTAGTGCAGGTTTCAGTAGATGAGTTGACAGAGAAGAAGGATTTACAAGCAGATGCTGATTTGACTGGTATGTTGTGAATTTACTATTTATAGCAGTACGATAAGAATTCAAACCATCATACTTTGTGCCTGTAGCCAAAACATGTAAGGGCTGTGACACACCAAGCCAATGGTCAGCCGTCAGCCACAGTCGGGCCATTGGTGAGCATTTGTTGGTGCTCGTCTTTAGGGTGTATCCTGCACTGTTGGCACCAGCTGGGCTCTATTGATGACTTTTTGGCTGATTCAGCATATTGAATTGGTGTTGGGCCTCATCGGTGAGAGACACCAGTCTGATTGGCTGTTCAGCTTAGCGTTTCACTGCACAAGAACAGAACGGTTTGGAAAAGCCTCTTCAGTCTGTCGTTGTACCATCCATTTTTTCACATATTTAGTGCAGTTTCTCTTTATTTTTGCCTTCATGACCTCCTTTCTGCTTCCACAACTAAAAGAGAGAACACCAGTGTCATTTGCAACTTCTTATCAGACATATTCTTAATTAAAAGCAACTATAATCAGCAGCTGTGTTGGATATTTGCTGCTTTGTTTAAGCTTGTATATCTGCAGTCTAGCTCTACTTCTTTCCCTTTCTGAATGGCAAATACAGATGCCGCCAGCTGCTGGTAGGGGGAGTTATTTTTTCATGTAGGTGTGGAACATGTATTAGTCAGTCGTGGGATGTCGTCTGTTTGCGTGTGTTCAAGTGCCACTTTTTCAACCTAACTCAGTGAACCAAGTCAAAGCCCACTCGAGGTGAGACAACAGTTGGCCTTTGCCGCTGCTAGTTCTTTCATGTTGGCTTGGTATATCATGGCTCTAACAACAACTGGCCAAGCAAAGGGTGTCACTGTGTTGGTACTTTGAGTTAATCAGTCACTTAAATGTGTCGTAAACAGGAGCAAGATACACCAGGAGTTCATGCAGATTCCCTTTAACACCACAAAATCTTTTGATGCCCGATTAACACACACGCACACGCATTCTATGATTATGACCCTTGGCCTGCCCCATAGTTTGGGAAATCAGGAAGTGAAGTAGCAGTAAAGCAGTTTTCAGATAGGACACAGTATATGCTGCACTTGCCACGGGGGCTGGGCGCAGCACATTACAGGAGGGTGCACACGTACAAATCACTCCCATGTTGAGTGCCATTTGCTAGCAGACCAAAAAGCTTTCCAGAAGGTGGTTAGCAGATATTAACTAGTTTTTTGAGCAAGAGGCTTGGATGCACAATGTATCTATCTACATGTCAACAAAATCCTCTTGTTTTAGTTGAATTGATGATGATACTAATGTTACTGATCAGTAGAATTTAGAATGCACAATGGACACACACAAAGTTCATGAGTTGGCCTTGAACAGAAAAAGATATTTACAAGCTACTGATCAAGATACTGGTATTGTCTTATGCTATTGTCTGATTTGTTTGATAAATTACAGAAACACTACCTGAGAACCTCTTATTGATTTCCATGACACCACTGAGTACCAGTAGTTATGCTGCTACAGGCCTAGGCTGCTGGGGGGGGGCCCATGATGCTCTGAGATCCTTTCCTCTCCATGCATCTATATGCCACTATTACATGTCACTAGCTGTGTGTCTCCTCTCTCCTGTAGTGTGTCCTCTCTCTCTCTCTCCCTGTACCTTTCTGCAGGTAGCCCTGGCTCTGGAGCTCTGTGTTTCTGATGAGCAGTCATCGGCCACATAAACATGCCCAGTGTTTGATTGTTTGTCGTTGTGTTTATTGTGTCTTGTTGCTTTTCTTCTTTTCTCTCTCCTCTATCCACTCACACCAACCGGTCGAGGCAGAAGGCCGCCCACCAAGAGCCGGGATCTGTCGGAGGTTTCTTCCATTAAAGGGAGTTTTTCCTCTCCGCTGTCGCCAAGTTCTTGCTCAGGGTTGGATTCGTTGGGTTTTCCTCTATAATAATAGTGATAACAGTAAGGTCTAGACCTTACTTTGTAAAGTGTCCTGAGATGACTCTTGTTGTGATTTGGCGCTATACAAATAAAATTGAATATCGTCAACCATACTGTTGTTGTGGCGTCATTAACTGAGTTAGCTCAAGCCTCTCTAAAACTCTGATTTTTTGGGAGCAAACTGATATCCACCCCCTTCAGCAGAGTAATGTGATGAGATGATATTTACTGGGTATAAAAATTAGTAACAGTTTTGATTGGAGGGGAGCTTTAATGAAAGATCACACATTGTCCCATTCTTCCATCTTTATTATGGAAAAGGAAAAGAAACCTACTGCTACAATCATAAACAGAAATGTTTTGATACAAACATTACTGATCAGTAGAATTTAGAATGCACAATGGACACACACAAAGTTTATAAGTTGGCCTTGAACAGCAAAAAAAATTTAGTAGCTATCAACAGCTGAATGGATTCTTGGAGCAGATGAAGCGATAAGCAGTGTCACACCGGGTGTTACCCCAACCATCTGAAATTAGAGAAAAAAACGGTATTAACACAAAATCAATTTTTGAGCTAGCAAATGAAACACCATGGTGTCCACTGCGACAGTAGTCATTTGCCTTTTTCTACAGAACAATAGGAAAAATCAGGCCAGAAAAATGTGATGTTGCCTTGTACTTTATAGCCCTTAAATACAAGCCAGTGTCATGTTTGCTGTGATCTGTACATATCAGGATACTTTCTATGACCAAGACAGAACTCAAGGTATAGTATTACACACAGAACTGGAAGGAACTCTGTGACTATTGCCATTCTGACACTCCAGCTGTTGCAGCATGATGTAGGCAAATGTACTGATTAAAACTGCTGGAAAAGTATTCAACTATCACAATACATTGGACAAAAAATATAATGTTTATCACTGACCATACGTATATAGATAGTTACACATATTTTGTTCTTCAGGCTCTGTTTCAGCACATTCCATTTGAATTAAAATAAGAGATACTACATTAAAGTGCCAAGCCTCAGCTATAATCATCAGGTGTATGTCTGATGTTATCCTCTTCAGCAAATCAGCCACATTAGCTAAGGCTATACTTATGATTTTTTATGCTATATTCCCTGTGGAAATTGTTAGAAAACTGATCAAAGTAAATTGAAGCTCAACTGGTGTACCTATGCAGCCAAAACCAAGAGGTGTGTCTTGTTTTTCTACTGGGTATACAAAAAGGTATTGGGATGAGAACATGACTTACTGGTGGAGCGTAAGTAAATGCAGGGGTAGCTGCTGGAGGAGGAGGCGGAGTACCAGTTGGTGTAGTAGAAGCCTTCACGGTCAATCCACATCCACTTGTCCTGAGAGACCGTGAGTAGAACATGAGTATATGAAAGTATTGTTTTAGTACTAAGAGCCAGTGTTTGCTCTACTTCCATTTTGTCCATGAAATCTTACTATACAAGTGTCTTGATTCTTCAAGTTGCACTTCAGCCTAATGCACGACTTGTGCACTGAGCAGTCTGAGCATTATTTTGGCTGACAGAGGAATTTATGCAGTGCTCGTACAGAGAGAGTCAGGGTAGATTTATATCTTGACTGACTGTTGTACATTTGAAAAGACATTCTTTAACACCTATTTTAGTCCTGTCTTTCTAAATTCATTGCCTTCATTGACTTGAGGTCATCTTGACTACAAGTTGCACTTAATCATTAGGCACTGAACAATTCATTCTTACTGAACACACATCAGTTTTTTCAAGCAGTAGATTTTTAATATGGATACTGCTGAGAGTGAAGTGCTTCAGCAAAAAGAAAGACATGACATCAGAAATACAGACCTGCAGGTTGAAGCCTCCCAGCCATGCAATGCTCTGACCAGCTGTGTGTGTGAGCTGCTGGAGGAAGCTGTACTCTCTGGCATTGGTGGCTGAGGCCAGGTTGGCCCCCCGGTTGTTGCAGTGCTCCTGTTGGACACAGGATGCTTAGAGGGATCATTGAGGTTACACAAGTAAATGGATGTTCTGACATTTCATTTCTTTATGTTTGCCTTTTGGTCTCATGTGAACCTAAAGCTCTTCTTTTCATGGACTGATGGAGACAGACCTACTAACAGATACATCACCATCCAGAGATTTTAGGCCTAGTGAAGCAAAAACAGTAGTTTCTATGTTGTAAATGTTGCATTTATCATGTGCATAGATGGAAGCTCTGCAGTCACCTAATGATGTCTGCCAGATGTGAAGAAAAGCTTTGACTTCAGTTTACATGCTTAATAGCTGTATGACAGCAAATAGTAATGACATGTAATAGTAATGAAATAGTTAAAGTTGCAATACCTCAGCACTGTACCAGGTCATGGGAGTATTGACGAACAAGAAGCAGCGAGAGTTGTGGCCGAACCAGCCATCTGGACACAAGTTAAAATGACCTAGAGAGGAGAGAGAGCATTCAGTTTACTTACTAACAGAACACTTTCATTGACAAAATAGTTTGACTGACTAATCACACCTCCCAAAACAACATCTGTCTGTTATGTATCTGTATCTACTTTGGAGGTAAAGATGTCAGAACTGGGAAGATTGTAGTTAAACTAACACAATCATCTCTCACTCTACTTAGACATTTGGCTTTTCTGATATTTGGAGAGAGGTGTTGCCATGATGACCCCCAAAAACACATCACAAATGAACATAAAATGAGAACTGTGATGCAGCTCTTACTTTCAGGTACTGCTGCATCCTTTAACACAAGTGCTGCAAAGACAGAGAAACACAGTCAACACAATTAATACAAATATACTATAAGATATGTTGACTATACCCATATATGCTCTATTCTGCATTATCTAAATGTCTTGGTTACATAAGCTTAAGTCTTCTTATATATGCTTTTTTTCTTGTTATAAGATAAAACTATGCAGAATATTGTTTAAAACTATCAAACAACCTGTTTCTATAACAACACAAAACAGCTGGGGAGTACTTGACAATGTAGCTTATACAGTAAGTCCGATGTGTATTTCAGTGTTTAAGTGACTCTGAGCAGCCACTGAATATATAATTAAGAGATATGTGTCTGATTATTGTTTCTAGGAACAGGGACAGAATCTTCTGGAAAAAATGTTTCATCATCATCATCATTATTGTCATTTGCTCATCTCTGAAATATCAATCACTTGTTCCATTCAACAGATTGAGTGGTCAAAGAAAGTCAAAACAAGGGAATTGGTCATCTGTCCTAAATGTCCAAACACCTGGCCTTGCTGTTCTTTCATGTCCTGATATCTGCTTACACACTGCTGTCTAACATACAGTACATCTGTCATAATCTGACCATCTTCTGGTTTTCATATCACTGGAGGTCTTTTGATTGTTTCTGTAGTTAATATTGTCCCATGGCTGTCACAGTGCAAGTTAAATAAAGAAGAAGACACTAACCAGGTGCAGCCACGTGCTCCTTTGGGGCCTCTGCTGCTGCGTCTGTAGGGGTGAATGACATGAAAGTTGGTGTCAGATAGATGCTTTCTTACTGTCTGACTGTGGATTCAAGTATATTCCTTCATTACTGACCTGGAGCCTTTTGTTTGTTTTCAGCTGGTGCTGCAGAGAGAAACAGAACAGTCAGAAGCAGAATACTTCTCTGTGTGTGTGAGTATGTGTGTGTTGAATCTGACCTGCAAACGCTGCACAGAGAAAAAGAGAGAGGAGCAGCACAGTTGTCATGGTGATGATCAAATGACTGTTCCTGTTTGGAAAAAAAGAAAAAAATTACCAATAAATCTACAGTGACAAAGCAGAAACATGAGCGACAGTGAATAACTGTAAACCCTACTGAAGTCTTACCTGTCAGGTAGATGTGAGGTGATGATGTTCAGGTATCCGCTGATGATGCAGTGATGACAAGAGGCTGCTCTGTTCTTTATATACACACACCTGAACTGAACGTGCCAACGCTGATCGACAGGCTGCTCTGTTCTTTATATACACACATCTGAACTGAACGTGCCAACGCTGGGTGATGACTCAGCTCTGTGTACGGGAAGCTGATTGCTGTGTGTACATAAAGATCTGAAGTTGAACTCTGATCACTGTAAAAGAGTTTACACCAACCGCTTCTTGGTTGTGATTTCAGATCAAATTAATGATTTAGAAAAAGTGAAGCTAGGCTGAACATGCAGTTACAGATGGTCTGCAAGCTGTATATTCTGCACTTGTATTTTAAAGGACATATGAGCTGTGGTGGTTCACAATTCAGATATTTTAACATAAGGGGAAAAAAGCAAAATAACAATGAAAACACAACTCCACAACAAGTAAAAGTCCTGCATTCAAAATTATGGTTAAAATATAGAAATATGAGCAGAATAATGTACTATACATATCAAAATAATATCATCAATGTGTAGGAAGAACAGTTCCTCTCAGTGTTGTTATTGCGGATTATATCATTGTAGAATTATTACTAATAGATGAACATGACAGGAGCATTAGAATCCTGCAGCTAACTGATGATGGAACTAATTTTTTATCTTACTTTTAAACCCTGCTGTGTGGTTCAGTCTTTTAACTGTGTGTGATATTCTTCTGCAACTCAGTGTCATCTCCTCCTGAAACAGTGAAATTTTATCCTGAGCATTACTCTCCATATTCTAAGAGAACTGGGTTCCTACTGCAGCACTTTGTTAGAGTTTGAACTTATTATAACCTCAACAAAGATTCAAAACCAACAACTCTTTTGTACTGCCATCTTTACAGCTGTTTAGCTGTCATCTCTACCATCTTAAAAACACCATTAGCATCTGTCTTGTGCCACTTGTTCTTGAGTAACACACTGAATCTTAAATTACTACTACAGTCTGTGGATGTGGGGCCAACATGTAAGTTACTTTGAACTAAAGTATCTGCTAAATGAAAGCATTATAGAAATGTCACTGATTTTTTTACACTTAGTGGTGGTAGAAATAGGCTGCAGACACATGCAAGAAAAAGTAATGGCACTGTTTGCAGTTTCATGCATAAATCGGTTATGAAATGTGATCGGATCTTCACCAAAGTCACAGATATCAACCAACAATATTTCTAAGTTGATAAAACACAAACAGTCATGATCTATCATGTCTTTATTGAACACAGCCATTAAACATACAAAGTGATGGTGGAAAAAGTAATGGCAACCATGTTTTAATAACTGGTTGAACCACAGTGGCAGCACTAACCTCAAGCAAGCTCTTCCTGTAGCTGTGGATTAGACCTGCACAACATTCAGGAGGAATTATGGACCATTCTTCCTGACAGAACAGCTTCAGCTCAGCCATAGTCTTAGGACCTTGGGTGTGAGCAGCTCTCTTGAGGTCATTCCACAGCATCTCTATTGGGCTGAGGTCTGGGCTCTGACTGGGCCACTCCAAAAGGTGGATTTTGTGTCTCCAAAGCCATTCTGTAGTAGATTTAGGGTCACTGTTCTGCTGCATCACTCAGCTTGTTCTGAGCTTCAGCTTGCCAACAGCCACCCTAACATTATCCTGTAGGAAACCTTGATAGACTTGGAAATTCATTTTCCCCTCCACAATGACAAGCGGTCCAGGTCCAGGTCCAGAGACAGCAAAGCAGGGCCACATCATGATGCTCCTTCCGCTGTACTTCACTGTTGGCATAATGTTTTCATGTTGGTAAGTGGTTCTCTTTTTAGGTCATCCATAGAGCTGTGTCTTCTTCCCAAACAATTCTACATTTTATTTATCAATATTTTGCGTATGGTTGACTCATGAACAGAGATGTTAACCAAATCCAGTGAATTCTTCTAATCTTTAGCTGTTACTCTAGGGTTCTTTTTTTTTTTACTTCATTTTTTATTTTGTCATTTAAAAAAAATGTAACGCTAATTTAGTCCCTGTCACATACTTCAGTCCATTCCTTTTCTTTTCTTTTTTGTGCACGCCAATACATGGATTGCTGTGTGAGCACTGCAATGCACCAGCTACAACAAGCACACGTGCACACCGTGGCGTACTAACCTCACTGTTGCATTTCAGCTTGTATTTTGCTTTGACATTCTGGATTAGAACAACTGACAAATGATTTCTTTTCCAATTATTATCTAAATTAATCCATTACCAAATATATGAGCCTGATTAAACAGGTGTGATTTTACTGGGGCACAGCAGATTAATACTTGGGCACAGGCCCCAGTAAAAGGAGTCTAACGATGCCTATGTCAGAAGTATCTGACATGTTTGCACAAGAGCACTATAGACCCTGTCTGCCTGTCACCCTACCTGTCATATGGATGGAAAGAAAATGCTACATGAAAACGCATCAGACAGATATATGCTGTATGATCATTAGTTCAGCTGAATGATCAAAGCCCTCCAAATACAGGAACACAATGTACAAGATTGCAATCTTGCAATTTTGCAGTGATTCTCCTCCTTATTTTGTGTCTATATCAGCCTACACCACTCCACTCCAGCAGTTTTATCACCAATCTTCTCACAGTAGTGCTGGAGGCCAGAGCTTTGTCATCTAGAATAACTATACAAGTATACAGTATAAGTAACACTTAACATCACTGTCTCAATCAAAGAAGCAAGATGCCTACAATCCAAATAATTTTAGTTGTCTGTTTTTATACTCTATGCCTGAAAAAAATATTATTACATAGGCTAGTGTAAGAATTTCATGCTAATTAAGCAGTACCTGGATTTATGTTGATTTTTTTCAAGGCTTTTTGGCTTAGACCTACATTTTGAAGAACTCTTGAATGTTTGGCGTTTACTTTTACTTGGAGTATGTCTACCAGATAGCAAAACTGAATTAAAGTAATACTACAGTTGCTAAAGACATAGTGGCAATAAACATCTGATGTGATGTTATTGCATCCTGGTTGTGACAGAAATTTATGATTATGAGTTAAAAGGTGTGGAGTGCTGGGAACAGTAAGTCATAGTGTTGACCTCTCTTTATTTTATTTTATTTATTTATTATTTGTTATCTTCTCATCTTTCTCCGACTGAAGGAAGAGGAGATAAGAGAGAATTTGTGCTGAAGATAAAAAAAAAGGGTAAAAGACTTATTGCCATAAAAACTGCAGTGCTTCCAGTAAAACATGTTATCACATCAGAATAAACATTATAAGTAGAACTGAGACCATCTAAATACAGGTAATCTTAAAAAAAAGTTTATTTCACTTTACCTAATTTTTTATCTATTTTTGTTATCTTTTCATTTTTCTCTGACTGCGGGAAGAGGAGATAAGAGATAATTCATGCTGAAGAAAAGGAAATGAAAAACACTTATTTCCATAAAGACTGCATTGCTTCTAGTAAAACATGCATCATTTTGTTTTATAACTATGGTGTCTGATAGGCTGCAGACTTGACTGTGTAGAAGCAAAGCAATAAAACCAAATGATATTTCCATGCAGAAGAACTAAAATGCTCAGAAGCCTTCAGATTAGGTTTACACTCATCCTTCCAATCATTGCTCTGTTTCCTTTCCTGGCTGAATGATGATAATATATGATAATAATGCCCTCAGTCTGTCCCCCATGCAGCCCTCAGACTCTCAGATCACTGTAGGGTCCATCTTATTCCAACCTATAGGCAGAAACTTAGCTGTGAAGCCTGTGGTCAAAACAGTGAAGAGCTGGACTGAGGAGGCTAAGTCAGAGCTACAGGCCTGCTTTGACAGTACAGACTGGAGTGTATTTGAGACTGCAGCTACAGACCTGGACGAACTCACTGACACTGTGACATCTTATATCAGTTTTTGTGAGGATGTGTGTGTGCCCAAAAAGTCCTTCTGCACATACAACAACAATAAGCCCTGGCTTACAGCCAGACTCAAGCAGCTTCATTATGCCAAAGAGGAGGTTTACAGAAGTGGGGACAGGACTCTGTACAGCCAGGCCAGGAACACACTAACAAGGGAGATCAGAGCAGCAAAGAGGAGCTACTCTGAAAAGCTGAAAGCCCAGGATTCAGCCATCCACTCCTCGTCTGTGTGGAGTGGAAAAGCATCACTTGGTGTCCCCCAAGGATGTGTGCTCTCCCCTCTGCTGTTTTCACTCTACACCAACGAAGGGCCCCTCTGTCAAGCTCCTAAAGTTTGCAGATGACACAATGGTCATTGGACTCATCCAAGATGGTGAAAGATATCACCCAGTTCTTTTAACCAGGAACTCAGAGAGACGAGGCGGACCCCTTGGATATATAAAAAGTAACCGTACTGGTTTATTCAAAGGATCACAGGTAAAATTAACATTACACGTCCAGGCATCTTCCACCCCCAAACCTGCACGCAGGCAGCATGGAGGATAAAAGACCCTGAACCCTCATGCCTATACAATTTTATCCCTTGGTTGGGCTAGCCCATGCTACACAGGAGCGTCAACCGTGATGTAAATGGACTGGTAAATGGACTGTATTTTATATAGCGCTTTCTCACAGTGTGTTGCACGCGGACCACTTGGATATATAAAAAATAACCGTGCTGGTTTATTCAAAGGATCACAGGTAAAATTAACATTACACGTCCAGGCATCTTCCACCCCCAAACCTGCGCGCAGGCAGCATGGAGGATAAAAGACCCTGAACCCTCATGCCTATA